CCCTTTCGTCGTCCTGTTCTTCCTTCGTGGTCAGTTTTACCATTCGACGGGACTCCTGACCTAGGCCTACATTGAGGAAGCTCCTGGTGCGACATGCAAAGCAGTCACAGGCTGACGACTCAAATCTACAGCACATACATAGATCACGTCGCGAGCTTTGTCGCCCTGCAGTGATCTCTAACGGTTCAATTCCTGCTGGACAAGGGCGGGGAAGGGTTATGGCGGATCGCTGAAGGGTTGTACGTGAGGGCCTGGGCATTCGGCGACTGCTGAATCAGCTGAAGCTCGCGCTGCAAGCGCCTGTGGGAGCAATCTGTGCAGGATTTTTGCGACGACAACCTATCGGAACCCAAGCCCTGCTTGTCAGGTCTGCGTACGCCTGCATTAAATCATTAGATCATGGCATCTACAGCTTCGATTCGCTCTTCGGTCAGACAATCTCCGTCGCCTCACAGAAGGTGCACTGGCTGATGCGCCCTGCAACAGCAGGCAAGCTCTTATCCGAGAGGCTCCAAGTTGCAGCTTGATGCATGCTGGGTCTGGCATCATCACAGATCAATACACTATGCTTTGCACGAAAGCCCCTGCCTGCATCTTCTGGAAATCAAATCTGAGCACTTCGATCGTGTCAAGCGGGCACGAAGAAAATTGCTTCGGGTAGTGTCGACTCTTCAAGGATTGCTGGAGTCCAGGTAGCCAGCGGCTGTCAGAGGGCTTTACCAGCTGGGTCGGATGCTTAGAGCCGCGACGTTCGTGATCTTGGGCATCTCTCGAGCTGAAGCCAACATAACACCGAGGCATGCCAGCCAGCGCATCTAAGGGGTGAGGCCGCCCGGAACAACCCCCGACGAACATGAAGACAACGAGACCTTGATCAACAGTGATTTGAGATTAAATGGAGTGGGTCTGTTGCCAGAACAAAACCACACAGGGGTAAGCTGAATGCTCTTCAGTACAATATACTTCTTCCGGTTGGAGTCGTTGGAAATCGCATGCTGATGCCACGCCGATTGCAAGCTGGCTGTAACTCACGCGTTCATGTTTTTGTCATTCCTCGACTTTGTTGCTCGTGTGCTGTTCAAGATTCGAAAATTGACCCGACCCCTCTTTGGCATCGTTGCAACACATGAAAAGCAGTGTGCTGACCTTGCGGATTTCGATGGAGGTACATGCAAGTGGATTGCAACGTTCCGCCTGATCCGTCTTTTCCCCCAAGTTTTACTTCACTCTGATAAAACGGAATATAACTGACACTATGCGTCAGCTTGCTCAACTGAATATTCCACAGCGGCTTGGGGTTAATTGTCAGATCAGTCGCATGCCCCACGAATAACTTATCGAAAGCACACAAGGACATTCAGAGTTTCTTCCGTAGCTGGTTGCACGACTCTGCGAGAAGAGGCTTGTAAGCGGTCGATTGCTCCACATAAGCGCAGCAAGAAAGCACTGCAATTTTGTGCTGGTTGTCAGCGATACCTTGAACCGACTGCGCTGCGAAATCAAAGAAGGACACACTTCATGCGGACGTGCTGGTCGACTCCTTCAGGTGTTTTCACGGTGAGCGTGAGCTTCTGTGCTCTCAAAAATCGCTTGTCTTCGTTTCATTGCTCCCAAACCCCTTGATATGCTTGATGCACTCGCCGTTCGAAGAACTCAATGAAGAGTTGGCCTCAAGATTGACAACACGAAGAACTCGGCAACGTATTCCCAGTCTGGAACTGCACGACTTCTACATCCGAAGAATGTAGACCCTGACGGTCCCTGACATGTTCAGGCTCTGAGAAGAGATGTCATTCCTTCGCAAGGCCGTGGGAGCTGGACAAATACAGTTGCGACATTGTTGAATGGAGTACTGAACACATGGATCAGCTCCAGCGCAGCAATCACCTACTGTTCGGTTTGCGGACACACTTGAAAAGCCTTGGCTGCGGCCACACTCCCCCTGCTTTTAGCACTCGGAAGAACACAAGGTTGTCTCGAAAAGGCCAAGCTGGCACATAGTCGGAGGAGTGTCTGAGTCTGATCTTGCAGACACTCCCCTCACTTGCAGATCCGTTTGGATCGCACGGGCATTCTCAAAGCACAGGTTGGTACAGTGCATCTCTGAGGCCACAGGTCGACCTTCAAAAGGTGCAGAAGCGCTTCAGGATCATCCTGGCTCTTGAACCGCGATCTCCTGCTGGCGGCTGGATAGTCTTGTCAAAGGCTCCCGTCGTCACGTGCTGCTTGGACAGCTTGCCGAAACCCTGGAAGGATGATCTTCTGCGATCCTGCGCCATGGGTTTGAAATCTGCAGATTGCGAAGATGACCTGTAGCCCAAGCAGCAGCTAGTCGATAGAGTGTCCAGCGCGAGCGAGCAGCAGCATCTCCGTCACAAGGCATACTGAGAGCAGCCCAGAACATCATCTTCAACAGGGTTCCGAGGTGTGCCGCAGAGAGCTCGACCACCGTTTCTCCTTTATCCCCTCCCCTTTGCCAGTCCACGCAGACTCGGTAATCGGCCTGCTCAACTGCAGAGACGGACAGGTCTCGCTTGACAGATGTCATGTCGTTGTCAGCAACACGTGGTCATGACCGCGAAGGCCAGGATCCACTTAGGAGAAAGGATTCGATCGCTGGCAGACATGTGACAGAATGGTTGACTTGAGGCATCCAGATGCTCGTCAGCCAGGGGTTGATGCAGGTCCGTCAGCGCTCTCACGAAGTCTGGATCCTGCGGGTTGCTTGATGTCGGATTTTTCAGGTTGCGCCAAATGGCTGCTTGCATCAGCTTCCATCTGCTTCTGCCTCTGTGCTACTGCTGTCGATGTCTTGTGATGTCTTGTGATAGCTGCAATGCCTAATGCTTGATGCCACCGTCTCACATCCCTCCTAACAGGGACCCATGCCGTGCCTTCCGGAGCATGTGCATGAAAGCTTGTGGAAACCCCGTCGCTCTGCACAAAGAGCACCTGCTCCTCCTGGGACAAGTAAAAGGCTTCGGGCTGGCTTTGGGTCGAGGCCCGATAGCAGCATGACGTAATCATGCACGCAGCGCATCGCAGTATAATGTCATGCATCTGCGGCCTGCATGTCAGCGGCTGCAGACGCCGATGCGAAAAGCCGCCCTGCCGCTGTGGGAGTATTGAGTTGTAAAGAATCGCGAAAGATCTTCAACATGCCACATGCACAGCAGCAGCGTGTGCAAGCACAGCGTAAACAAGCCTGATTGCCGCACTCGCTCCTCCAGAAGGGTTTGACAGTGCGCATGCTTTCCACCATAAGCGGGGCAGTACGAGTAGGAACCCTACAGCCCAAACGCTGCCAATGTACATTCCATGACTCCGCCCTGCAGGTCCTGCCATCCGTCGTCGCCGGGGAGGACCGGCCGTGGTGGGAGAAGCGGCGGACTCAGCACGCCAAGCGTCCCCAATTGGCAGCCAACTCGTGATTTCTCCCAAGGATTCTTCAGGGTTACAATGTAGGTATAAGTGTCTACAGTTGTCACAGGGCTCATCATCCAAGTCCGTGGCGGCCATGCTGTCCCACCGCGCAGCTCTTCCAGAAGGATGTCCTGAGGCAAAAAGGTCAAAGCATCAGTGCATCACATCACCGTTTAACAACGTTTCAGCGCACGGCGCTATAAGCCTCTTTAATCAAAACCAAACAGCCAGGCACGGCCAACAGTTGTTCGCTGAATCGGAGCGACGCAGGCAGCAGGGCCGGCTCCTGCTGCACTGCCTGCTCAATGCTTTCGCTTGCGCGCTGAACGGCTCGCTCTGCTGCCTGGCACCGGGCGAAGAGCAACTCGCAGGCACAGGATGGCACGTGATGGCACGTGTCTGCAAATCGTCCTCATCCTCAGGAGTCGAAGCTTCCGCTTGCCTCTGCCTCGCATTTGCTCAGCTGATGCTGTGCTGTACAATCACAATCAATCACATCAAGCATGCAAATGCTGAGAACATGGCTCAAAGGCTTGTGCCATGTGCCTCTGGCTGGCACCTGCACGAAAGCTGGCACTGGTACGAACTCACCGCATTTTCACCGCTCCATTCCACCAATGAGTGAGCTTCAGTTTCTGCCAGCTTTGCGATAGAGGGCTGCCTCACTGAACCATGGACTACTATGCAGGTGGTCTCCAGTTTGCACTGTCGAAAGTAACGAGTGAGGATGTCACCCTGCCGTGCATGTATCGCGTGCATGTCGAGTCCCACTGAGAGCTCGGCTGACTGCCCATCTCGCAAACGTTGCATGGGCTCTTGCGTTGGCTTCGTAGAGGTCCCTGAGAACAGAAGATCTCGACCAACGGCTTCACCAACACTAACAGCCACACAAATAACAATAGCAGCACGCGAACCAGACTTGCGATGCAAGTCGGTCGCAGTGCTGCGCCCAAGGCACCAGCGCAGTACTCAACGGCCCCTCTGAAACTGGCTCCGACCTTTGTTGCTATTGCACGGCCGTGGTTCGCTGGTGCATGATCTGCAGGCTTGGCAGGCTGCTGTGATGCACTGGTAGCGGTGGGTCGGGTAGACAGTTGTGCAACCGAGGCCTCTGCCACTTAGACAAGCCCTGGGCGGCCAGTTCGGCATGCATGGCAAAGTTAGGCCCGCGTGGGCGGGGCACAAGTGGCTCCTGAAGAGCGCTGCCCATGTGTGATAAAATACAGCTCAGGGTGTGCTCCTCCGGAAGGGTTTGCCATGGAACTTGCCTGACGCGGATTTCCTGCGGGAGCCTGGCCAAAAAGCCCGATTGCATTGGGCGAGAGAGCATCGAAGACCGTCTGAGTCTCGGCCTCCAGCGCTCGAAGACGGCAGCCTGCCATCCCTGAACCACGACCTGCACAAAAATGACGTGCAAAACGCTACCTACCAAGATTGATGCCGCGCTCTGGGTTCTGGAATCTTGCAAGTGATCCTAATGCTGTGCCCAAACTCGAACAATGGCATCGCACCTTAAGCAGCATCCGCTCCAGCATCCTAGCCTGCCACACGACATAAGGGAAGTAAACTTGCTGCTCACACTGCAGTACGATCGTCATGGGAGAACCAGACTGAGACTGAGGCGCCAAGTAACCCAGGTAAACTGGCCTGCTGCAGTCCTAGTTCCATTGAGTGCGGATCAGGTCGACGCGGCCGGCTCAGCTTTGGAATCTCCGGAACCGCCTCAGCGGACATGTCAACTCTGGAGATCTGCAACATCTTGATTGACTTTTTGCAGCACGCCTCGACGGAAATGCTGCGTGTAGAGATCTCTGCTGTCTGGGTCACGCCCACCTGCATCCAGTGCAGTCGATCATGTTCACAGCTTCGGGTAGATCTACAGCTGAGCAGATTTCGTCGCGAGTGCGTGTGCGGGTCACGGCAACGTGAACATCCCTGTAGGTTCTGTGGCACCTGCACTACTGGGGCAGCTTTCGCGACATGCGCCTGTGGTGTCTCCTGCCAGGGAGCGAGTTGCACTGCCACAAGTCACCTGGATCCCACGACATAACGACGGCCTGCACATGAACTGCAGGGGTCAACTTGAAGTGCTGCAGGATCTCCTCGTCAGGAGGGCTTTTGCACTATGACACTATGAAGGGAGGGATGGACACCAAGTTTGAAAGTCTTTCTCAATTCTCTATAATTGTGACTTTTCTTCTTTGCCCAGAGAAGGCATCAATTGCACTTCTTCTTTCTGATCCGTGGTTTCGTTTGACTCAAGGACTTCAACTTCGGGCCCCCTTCTTGTCCGGACTTCTTGTGTCCTCGTGAGGCCCACTCCTTTAGGGGTTCACTGGCCCAGTCGTTTTGGGCTTAGCATTTCCTTTACTTCACATTTCTTCCAGGGTGTTTTCGGGCTTGTCACTCATCATCTCCGCGGATAACAGCCGCCACGTTTGGGGTTCACGACTGACCATCTTCGGGTTGGCAGCTTTACAGCTATGGCTATAGCTGTGACACACTGGCAAACTCCTTTAAGTGTAGGGGTTGGCTTGCGGCTCTTGGACACTGATCATCCTCTCGCGGAGTTCTCAGGTGTGGTCGCGGTGGCACACTCCTTGTGTGGTTCACTCGTCTAAGGTTCGCGGCTGTAATCCACTACTTTGACGTTCTTCTTGCTATTTTGTCTTGGGCTTGGCACGAAATCAGGTCTTCAAGCTGAAGCAGCTGGCCACGGCGCCCAGAGCAAAGGGGACACAAACAACAAAAGAACTCACAAACAAGAAAACAAAACCAGCTCCACTTAAGGATGCTCTCAGCGGCGGCTCGTACAGCCGCAAGTGTCCTGGTAGACGGAGCCTCTGGTGACCTGCACGTGCGGTCGCTCCCCCGAGTCAGCATCGTAAACGTTAAGTTCCATCATTTTCCGTCCCCATCCGCCAGACCTCCAAGTCTGACCCAAGCTGCAAAGGCTTGCACAGCGAACTGAGGTACTGTTGCACGCGGGGCGCACTGTGGGGTTTGTTCAGGAACATGCCAGGCCTCCTCTTTGAGTCGCTCCAGTTCCGCCTTCGTCACAGAGGTCACTGCGTGTTCACAAATCTTGTGAGCAAGTTCGGACAACGATGCAACCGAGTCCTGCAGCTACTCTGACCCGGCTCGAAAACAACTCCCACTGGGTACTGCGAACGAGGGCCTGCTGATTCTTTCGTGCATCCTCTGCTTCAGAGACCTGCCATTTTAAGCAAGTCTCAACTCTGTCGCGAGGAGGTTGCAACTCTACTCTGGCCTTTTCCTTCAGCATTTCCATCTCCAGTGCCTGCTGCTGCCTGGCTGCCTTGATCTGTTCCACAAGGGCCTCCCGCAGTTGCTTCTGACAATCAGACAGCCCCAAAATATTCAGCCTCACGCTCAGCCGCTGCGATCTGCTGCTGGCGTTGGAACACCTTTCTGGTGAGACATGCTGAGATTACAATCGCTGAAGCATTCAATTCGCGTGTCAAGCACCGGCCCACCTCACTCTCCATAGCGCCGCGTTGAATGTCAAGATGCTGACTTGGCAGCACCTGCCATCTTGAACAGCTGGTTTCCGTCTTCAGCATTCGAAAAGCTGCAATCTCACGGCATCAAAGGGTCATTGGCCTGCTCTGTGTGCTGTTGCACAGATCTCGCTTCCTGCACCGGCAGTGGTTGAATTAAACTGAACTCATCGCCCAAGGTGCGGCCTCAGGCTGGCTTTGCGTGGCAGTCGGACGGTGGTCCTGTGCAGCACAGCAGGGTTGGGATAGACTGGAAACCCTTCCAGAAAACCCCAGATTGACAGAATAGAGGTGTGATGCTATCATGGAGCCGCGGGTTCTCATGGGCCACCCGTCCTGTTCCCCGGCCCCGCGCTGCTGTTGCAACGCTGCTTGCTGCCGCTCGAGGGCCTGCGTGGCGCGACAGCTGCTTCTCGCACTTAATCTGGAGCTTGTTCAGGGGTGTTTTTTTGCCTGCGTGAGGTCGTGGTGAAAACGAGAGTTTTGCAATACTCAATGATCGACGGAGCAGTGCCCTAGTCACCAATCCCGCACTGCGGCTGCGACAGCCTCCCTCTCCAGAGCGTCGCGCTGCAGCTGCAGTTCGCGGCGCTGCCGCTCCAAGTCCTGGATTTGTGGTGCTCGGATAGGAGCAAACACAGTACCAGTGCCGAGCGGAAACTGAGACAGATTATGTGGTTTTTAAATACCGCAGAATCCTTCCTCTCTTTGCACCAGGCCTCCCGTTGTGCAGCGAGCTCCCGCTCCTTGATCGCCTGGTGGCTTGTGGAAGGCGTCTGCGAGCTCAACAGTCGCTCCAGCAGTCGAATCGAGAGGCCCACGCAACGAAAGACTACAATCACTGACAATCACCATCATTGTATCAACTCAGGTGTTTGCGACTCAAGCAACGAGGAATGAAACAACAAAAAGATGTGCAGCCGATGTCGAGATGACCGCGACTAATCCGGTTGGTAAGATCGACACGTCGGCGGGAAAGCACACTCTGGCAATGACAGAATGCTCTTCGAAACCCGTCCATGTCAGTTGCTACACGCGCGCAAAGCAGGTAGGACCGCTGAGGACCCAAGATGCATCAAGGCGCCTCACGCTTCATGTCCTCATCTTGATTGAGCCCTTTGTCCGCCTCATAGAGCACCAGCACTCGAAGGTATGACGTGACTCCCAACCCACAGACAGGTCATGAGTCATGACACATCCGCCTTCCCGTGAAAGGCTGTGCACGGGACTAGTTCAAACAGATCGTGTTCCTCGTGCTGCCTCAGAGCCCTCCCTCACGGTCGCAAAACAAGATATTGAAACAGCACAGATCTGCACGGCCTGCGTGAGAGGCGCGTTCTGCTGCTGCTTCTGCTTCTCCATCATCTCGCAATACGGGGGAAGATGTAATGTGGGAAGAGGCGAGCCACGCATGATGTGCATGGTCGTGTACGTAGACGAGAACATGTTAGACTTTCACCGGAAGGTAAATACAAGTGTTGCAGTTGATCACAACCACACAACAATCAGCATGCTGGTGAGCAGCACTCGTCATGCCGGCAGCTTCACGTCCTACCGTTTTACACGCTGCGTCTTAGACTCGTGCCTCTGCCTCCCTTGCTGCCAGCCGCTCGGCAGTTCGCTGCTCCAAGGCCTCTCGCCCGTTAACCGCTCGACGTTAGTTGCCCGACAAACCCAGGAACCCAGGGGACCTGCAGTTCAGCTTCCTGGTGCCGACGTGCAGCCTCAGCGGCCTGGAAGCACCAACGGCGATTGGTAGTCTTATGGTATCCCCGAACATCACGGCATGCCCGAAGCTTGCCATATCTATTTATAAGTTATTGACCTGCGGGCCTCCGCCTGCTCTTTCAGCTTTTGCTGTTCTGCCAATGCCTGCGGCAGCTTGCAAGATCATTGATTCCCAAGCAATCTGTGGCTCGATTTCTCTCGCAGGAGAGCGTTGATATGCATGATGGCTTTCTCTGTGCAACTACCGGACGTGCCTTTCTCTCGGCCTCGACCCGCTTGGTCTCGGCTTCCGCTGCCTGTATCACATTTGCGAAAAGTAAAGGAATCACATCACTGGGACCTTGCAACACGGAAGAGAAAGGGAAACGACTTGTGCAGGAAAGCAGTTGGTGTGTTGCAGCTCCTGGCACGTCGGGCCCTGCAGAAGCTCTGGCCTGCGCTTCTCTTTCCTTTTGCAAACGCTTCTTTTCCTCCAAAGTTGAAACATCTACATCTCTGGCGCATCTACAAGCAGCTCGTGGCTCGGCACAACTACAGAGCTTTTGTTAGAGCAAGCCAAAGAGAGAGAGCCATTGAAACTGAGCACTGTGAAGTTCAATGGCTAATCTCAGATCTCTTCCAGGCTGCCTCCTGGTATGCCTTCTTGGTTGCTTCCTCCTTCTTTTCTGCCATCGCCTGTTTGTAGTCCTCTGCAAATGCCGCACAGGTGCACAACAAACTCACCCAAAGACAGCAGAATCGATTTTCAGCAGCTGGATTCTCGCAAAGTCCATGCATGCCATCCTCGAACCAGCAACTGAAGACGTCTTGTAGCAGCAGCTCGCAGTGCTGCCTGTCTAAGACTCAACATCACTGCAGGAATTATTGTCATATCTGGAAGGGCCGGCGGCTTGGGGAACACTTAACCCTTTGCAGCTGCAGTCGATGGCCCAGTTGGGGGGTCTTAGACACATGTCCAGGTGCCTGTACATCTTTTCAGCGATGGAGTCTGCCGCCCGCTCGGCCTTTGCAAGTGCCTGGGGGCGAAAACATAGTTTCACAGCCCGCTCTAGTCCACCTTCAGCAGCTTCGTGATTGCTGTTTTCACCCGCGCAAGCCTCCTCTTTCATCCGTCGCACTTCCGCTTCGTGCTTACGCTTGGCCTTGAGCCATGTGATGTCGCTGGCATAGAAGCTTGACGTCATGACGTGGCAAGATCACGAGAATTTTCAGTCACATCTTGCGATGTGCAAAGAGCAATCCTAGCATCCCGGAAGGGCCTCCAAGCGTTGTCGCTCACTTGCGGCCGCATGCGTTTCCTCGTCGAACGGCCGCGGGCAAACATGGATCGAAGGAAGAGCGGATGCTTCGGAAATACCCGATGCTGATTGTCATTGTTGCAGCCTTGCGGTCAAGCTGCTTCCTGCCAAAGGTTGACGCACATGCTGAGAAGCTCCTGGGCACAGGGCAGAGCGACTCCCGATTGTTGGGCTGGTCGTGACCCAGGAGTGCTACCAGCTACCAGAGAGGCCTGTTGCCGCTCGGCGCTCATTCGGTCCGCGAGTTGCTCTGCCTTCTGGCGATCTCTTTCCAATTCCTGGCCAGCAAGGCGAACAGCGCCAAACCGAAGCCAAGCCGCGAAGGGCGCCTCTTCCCGAAGGCGCCGCCGGTTCTCCTCCATGGCCTCCTCAAACCTTCTCCGCTCTTCGGCCTGACGGAGCTCCTTCCATGTACTCCATGCTTGGCACTTGTGCTAGAGCTGCTAGAGGTGAGAAAGGAGCGTTTCAGCCGTCTCAGAGGAACCGCGGCCAGTCCTCCTCTTCTTTTCGGCGCATGTCTTCGACATGCCGTCTTCTTTCCTCGCTACAATGTCGCGAGACCATCCATTCAAGCCAGCTATCTTATGAGGTTCCGCTTGCGGTCCTCCTCAAGTAGCCTCTCCTCCTCGCGCCGGGCGTCTTCCTGTTAAGGCTCTCGACATCGGTTTAGATCTGCAGCCAGACCATGCTCTCCTGCTTCCGGCGTTCTTCTTCTTCTGCTTCTGCTTTCTCTGCTTCTGCCCTTCGCTGCACTTCCTGATCTTGAGACAGACAGAAGGTTGGAAAACACCTGCCCTCAAAAACACTTTGTGACTGCATTGCCCGCCGCAAGCCTCCTTCTCCTGTTTCTGTCTCGCCTCCTCTCGACGCAGGGCTTCTTCCTTCTGACCGTCATCCTGCATGGGTCGCAGAAGAAGCGGACAACAACTACCAGACAGCTTGGAGACAGCCGTCCTTCGGTGGTGACTCTTGCAGCACTTCCGGCTCTCGCCCGATTGCTTCGGCTTGTCCCGACACAAAATGCTCCGCCAGCACCGCCATGGGAGCTTCTCGTGCGCTCTTCGTTGCGCCCACCGGATCCTGGGCTTGGACGTCTCCGCCTGCGTATGAGGCACCCCATGCCAAGCACAAGCAGAACGTGTCAATTTCAGCGAGCCTGCAGCTGCGGCCGCTTCCGCAGGCAGTGCCTGATGTGGCAAGCATCCCCACTAAGACAGATCAATCAAGACGGCCTGCTGATTCAGGCGGGACACCAGCATCACGAATCCTTGACTGGAAAGACCTCTCCCACTAATTCCTGCTGAAGCTTGCATGCTCGCGAGTACCACAACCAGAAGGTGCTGCTTGGAAGTGAGGCTTTACAAACTTTCTCTGCCTGTGCACTGCAGCACCCGATTATGCAGACTCTGCAAACAGTGCCACTCAAATCCACTGAAGATGTTAAATGATGTTAAACGGAGTCGATCGACGGTTGCCGGTTGCCAAAATCCCGCATCTGAATGCCCATGGTTGATGTCGCACACCTTGGCCTCCTTCTTTGCCATAGCCTGCGCACGCTGCTTAGCCTTGAACGGCTGCAGGTAGGCATGGCAAGAGCAATCTCAGCGCTACCACTAAGTCGAACTGGGCTGTCGGCTTTCTTCTCTGCCTCGACCGCTGCGCGGGCCTTGCTTGCCACCTGCGCGGAAGGATGGTGGCTGACATCGCAGTGACTGCGCTAGTCACCGCACTCTTCAGAGCGACGTGAGATTCGAAGGAGACTCGCCTTCTCCTCCGCAGCTTTGCGAGCTTCCACGGCACGCAGCTGAGCTGTAGCGGCACTTTGTGCTTTCCTTGCAGACTAACATGCATGTCTCAGACTCTAACTTCCTGAGGCCTTTGGGAACGACACGGTGCCCTTTCCAATCCTACACGGAACGCCGAGGCACTCGAGAACCTCCTCGGCCTCCGCAGCTCTGCTGGCGGCTTCTGCAGCCGCCTCGAAACCGTGAGCCATACCGTGAGCCATAGCTCCGCAAAGCTCCGCACTGCCAAAAACATGTAAATTAGCTTCGAACTGCCCGGGCCTTCTGCAGCTGGGCCACTTCTGCATCTGCACGCAACTTCGCAGCCTGTACACGGTGATTCAAGGTCTTGTGGTCTTAGTCTACCAATGTCTTGCATCTTGCCGAGCCACGTCTACCTCTTGCAAATACTCAGCGGCTTCTTCGACGGCCTGAGGGGTGTTGCGAGTTTTTTCTGCAGGAAACTTGCAGGAAGGCACACACGAAAGACTTTGGTCGGTCCACCCTGTCGTCCCGTGCCTCGTGAGCCACGCCACCTTCATTTGCACTCTGCGCCTTCGCGAGTTCCAGTCTGGCTGCGTCCAACGCAGCAAGCCACTCCCGAGCTTCCTGCAGTGGATGCTTGCAACGTTGCAATCCCCTGGTTGGCCATGTGTGCTACTCACAACGCTTCTGATCAGATGAGGCCCCCTCCAGCTGCGCCAAACGCAAGCGCTCTGCAGCCTCCTGGGCCTCTCTCCTTGCCCGCGTCGCCTTTCCCAAAACGGGCCAGGAGTCCCTAGATTTTCAATTGATCTTCAGGAGACCCAAAATGAATCCTCACCTCGTCGTCAGCTCGGCGCACCGCGCGGGCGGTGGCATCCTGCAAAGCTCAGTAGTCAGTGGTCCCCGCAGCTCACGCTCGTCCCACTGAAATCGCTCTACAGGTCCATGCAAAAGCGGGAATCTTTGCCCTGTTCGCTCCTGGGCTGCGGCTGCCTGCAACGCGCGCAGCTGAGCAAGCTGATCCTGGACACTCCGATGCATCTCTGACACAGAGGTGCACTCACCCTGAAACTCGCTAGGCGATCTTCCAAAATTCGACGACGCGTCCATCTCTTGGCTGCGCACCTGCGTGTCCTCTTGGCCACGTGCCTGCTTGTCCACCGGGCTGTGCACATCCGAAGTGCCATCGATGTCTTCGATCGCATCCTGCGCCTACACCACATACACGCGCACAAGACGGGAATTTCATCCACACAGGCCAGCTGTAAAGGCGCTGTAGACAAGCGCAACTCCTCGTCTGTTTCCAGCGCTTGCCGAATGACCTTCCCGGTGTCCCAGGCTGCTGAGAACACTTTCCCAATCCGTTCTATGCCCGCAGTGCTCCAGCCCCACATCTGACTGGTGCTCCGAGCCTCCTGACGACGCTCTCGTAGCTCCGTCTTGTGGGTTTGCCAGGCTTTCGAGAAGTTTTCTGCCTGGAGATGCATCTCTTCCAAAACTCAGGCAAGGTGTGAGATCCCAGTTTGCTTGCAAGCACTTGCCGGCACAAGGTTGCACCACCGTTGCACCTACAAGCTGTCTCGTGGGATAGCACTGCGAACGTCAAGGCCCTGAATCCTGAAGAGTAGCTCTCCTCTCTCTCCCGTCGGAGATGTCCACTCGACGCCCCGTAACGCTACAGGAAGCCTCAAACCTGAGACCGAGGGAACCGGAGGTGATTGACCAGATCCGAATTCGGAATGCCAGCCTTGCAGTGCAGCCTCCAGGACATGAAAAGATGCACCTCCAAACAGGGGAAGGTCCCTGAATGCAGTTTCTACTCACTCCGTTGGATGTATTTGAACCGTCCACCGAGCTGTACTGTCGTACTGCTGCTGCTTGACTATAGAGTCTAGACATCTCTGAGTCTGAACAGGTCAGGGTGGGGTCAGTTGGCGTCTGCTGAGGGATTCAGGGCCCCTCAAGCTTCAGCTCGTGCCTGCAGAATCTTCATTCTGTAGAAAAAGAGCATGTCCCCAACCTGAAGTGCAGGCCCGGCAAGACTTGAAGGCTCTCTGCCTGACGTCTGACTCGAAGCTACGTTTCACAAGGTCTGGACATGCTCCAAACCAATCGCCCGCTGCTTGGCCGCGCGGAAGCCTTGCAAGGCTCGGCCTGCCGCACAGCCCGCACAGCCCGCACAGCACGTCACCGGATTCAGACGGCTACAGCCCGTGACCGGCCTTGCAAGCGCAGGAGTTGAGCATCCGACCTGAGAAAGTGCACGGAGACAGCGCGGTGCCACGCAAGATGACCGAAAGTGTCAGCAGACCAAAGCCCACGCTCCTCCAAGATGCGCTGGGCCTCTGCTTCACGCCACCTCGACAGCAGCAATTCGATGCCCCCTCAATCCTGACCCCACACACGCAAAAGCACACAATAATCCCCATGCAATGGACTAGGGAGCATGCCTGCTGGCTTTTTCGAACACAAGGCATTGGCGCCAGGCCTGAACCATGTTGAGTCGACCATGGCCGATCTGCAAACGACTGGCATACTGCCGACCAGGCCATGAAGCATCGGAAGGCAGAGAAGCGCAGCTTGACCTTCAAAAAGGGACCCACGGATGATCGCCGCCCTACCTCGGGGAATTTCGGAAGGCTCCGCCTTCAGGCGGCCGGCCAAGACTTCCACGGCATTCTTCGTCTGATCCGCGAGCTTCTGCTCCAGCCCAGCACAACCTGACCAAGGTGTGGAGGCACTCGAAGAGCCAGTGTGATCTGAGCTGCTTCTCGGGAGCAACTTCGAACAAAGCTTCCGAGGCAAGGAGCTGTCGTCCAGAGTGCGGAGTGTTCTAGAACTGGATCGCAGCTCGCGTTCCAAGGCTTGCGTGTAGCTGCACCTGATGACTGGAGCAGAAGCTGTCATGCGTGCTGTATGCGGACTGCAAATAGGCACCGAGCAACATGCTTTCAAGCACCTCACTAGAAAGCTAGAGCATGTATTGAGTTCGTCTGAGGTTTCATGGCACCCTACCTGGATGATACTTCACTTCAGCTGGGATGGTAAACCTGCACCCCAACAGCAAGCTTCCCTTTTCTCCTCAACGGCGACACAATCGATAGGAAAACAGGCGCAGCCCACTGGAAAGCATGCTGCGACAACTGTAGACGTCTAGACCACGGTGTGAGAGCACGTCTCGGGCTCGCGGGGCAGTGCCCCTGTTGGGCAAGTTGCCACCAGAGGCCCTTCTCAGATCAACCCCACCGAGGAGCTGGAAAACCATAGTAGCCACAAATGGCCTGCGCTCTCGTTGGATCTGGGAGAAGCAAACATGTCAGGTGTTGACTCTCTCACGAAGCCTCCAGCTCCTTGCGCAGTCGCAAGGCGTGGTCAGGGCCTTCACAACCCTGGATGCTGATGCAGTCGCCACCGACCTGCATCATTCTCGGCAGGTGGCATGCAGCACAAGATCGCACAAGGAGTCAGGCTGCTTGAGCTCCTGCGATGCTATGTTTACGCGCACAATTATGTGAACAAGGCCATGCAATTCCCGTGAGGATGACGTGACGTGGGCCAGACAACTACTGCCACGAAAACTGGTTTCTTCAGCAAGCGATTTGAAGCACTGGGATTCTACCGGTGCAGAGTGGCCTCTGCCTCGGCGCGAACGCCTTGCATGGCAGAGAACTGGCCCAGGTCCTGGCGAGAGTGCCCTGCCTGCGGAATGATTTGGCGCCTGTGACTTCAGTCTCCCTCTGAAGCGCGAAATTCATGTTCTGTCCTACTCAGATCTGTTAAGCCAGCGAGCTCAACTAGGACCCAATCACCTGATCGAAGAGAAAGAAGAGAAAAATGGCCCAAAGCGGGGTGAACTTGCCAATTTGAGAAAGAGCTGTCCCCACGAAGGTCGCTTCGCAGCTGCTCCGGCGCCTCCGATCAGCGGAGTAGGACATGAGAGTCGGTTTCAAGATGCCATGACTCAGCACCTGACGTTGCTCAGCGTGCCGGGCCTAAGGTCTCGGCAAATCCTACGCAAGTTCCCACTGGTATGTACTGCTCATGGCTTCCGCTGCCTTGGGATAGTGCATCCTGTGGTCCTATAGGCTCCCGGACGGAAGAGCAGCACGGAGCGTCGAAGAACCAGATGAGCCGCCCGGCGGCGACAAGGGCCTCGAGATCTTGAAGGATGCTCACGGCCGTGGGCTTCAGATGGTTCTCGCATGTCACAGCAACAGGGCTTGACACTCGTGCTGAGGGCCCTGGCGCATCGCCGGCTTTGCGGCCAATGCCCTTGATCTCCACGAGCTGGAGACCTCGGTGTCCGAGCCCGTCACGAAGATAAAGCTCGGAATCGAGAGCTACAGCTACGAGTTCTGCAGCAGACTTCCGACTTCTAAGTGGCATCAGGTCAAGCTTCCTCGAAGTGGAGAAGCGGAACCCAAGAGCTTTGGCAGCATGAGCAGCGGCTACCACTAGCATCAGACGGCACATGACAGGACTCGGTACGGCAATTCTAACCGCAACGTGCTAAGGCCGCTTGGACCCCTGCCGCCTTGAGAAGTTACCTTCCAGTCACTTCAAACTGAGGAGCTGCTACTGTACCAGAAGATGAGACGTATGATAATATCAGAGAAGCCTTCACATCCACACCAGGCACCATTTCCTTCGCAATGTGCAGCGCAGTCTGTGCCTCAGATGTCCACACGTGCGGGTAAAGAACAGGAGCCTTGATGAGGGCAGCTTCAACGCTGAGTCGACAACATGCAGAGTCAGCTCCTCTAGTCAGCATCATGCACTTCTACGCAGCCGTCTGTCTTGCCAAGGTTATCCATAGCTTAGTGGCCTCAAGCTTCAGCAAGATCTGGCGAAACTCTGAGGGACATGCAATGGAACTGCCATCCCCCCGGAGCAGGAAAACTGTGGTGGTCAAAAATCTTCAGATGTGCTGGTCACTGCTCTGTTGCCCCCCCTCCGCTTCTTGCAGCAGCGGTTGCTGTAATTTCGATTTCGGCCCACCTGAATCAACTCACTTCCAAGTATATGGAACTTGGCTTCTTCAAGCTTTTCAGAACATCGCACTGGACGCAGCAACTCAGCTGGATATCTCGTTCACAACCTCAGCTGTGGCATCCGCATCTTTTCGTCATCGCGATAGCTGCCTGTACATGCTATCTCTCGTCACAAATCCTGCTGTGTGGGCTGTGCCACAGGCACAGACAGCTGCACGAAGCGACTGCACAAACTGCTTCGGGCTGCTTAGAACTGCACATCAACTGTCAACTCAACCATTTTCCAAACCGTGAGCTCAAGCCTTCCCAGATGCTTCATTTGGCCGAATTTCCCCGTGTTGGTAGTCACGTGGCTCTGCTTTGGGCTTACCGGTATATGCGATGCACCAATCAGTGCGTGGGCATAGACCGTGTCCGTCGCAGCAAATGTCCGAAGCCAGTTGGCCTGCACACTGCACCAAAGCGTTGCCTCTACGTCCAAGTTACTGCAAAATTCGACATCTGGATTTGATCTTCCACATTCATGGCACTGCACAAAACGATAAGATCAAGTACATGCAGCATCATGCAGCCACTATCAATCTAGGACTGCCAACCTACTTCCTGCTAGCCCAGGAACCTGCGACCATCTGTGTGTCGTACTGCGTGCCATTGTCATCCACCAGAACTGGTACACTCAGTGTTCCAGCAGGAATGCGCCCAGTGTCAATACAAGGCCAAGCTCCTGTTGGATTCGGCTCGCCCCAAGGACCTGCTGCCGTAGCGACATCGCCTTGCCACTTGCCATCCTTCTTGAACACCGCGAAGACCGTCACCCAACCACTCAGGTAAGTGGGCCCGCTTCCGCCGCCCAGGCGGCAGCAAACCTTGTCCCAGAAGTCTAAATCAGCCTTTCCGGATGCTGAGGCCAAGAACTGGTCGAGCACAGGCGCCAGCATCGTAAGCCATTGGCTCATTCTCCGATCTTCCAAGTCGAAGTCGCGCAGGCGGTCTGCCTTCTGTCGCAGCTGCATCCAGTCTTCCACAGTGCCCAGAAGGGTCACCTTCGGAATGCCGCAGCACAAATGGCAGACATACTCGAAGTAGTGCTGCAGCGTCGACATGACAGACACAGCCGCAACGACACGGTCATTTACCGTGGTGGTGCTGAATCCTGGCATCAGCCAGGCCACCATCTCCGGATCCTTGATGTTCTGTATTATGTTCTCATCAACCATGCGCTCTGCGAACTTAGCGTAGTCAGCCGTGAAGAGTGAGCCACCCATTCTCACGACAAGGGTCATCTTCCCCTCAAAGTTTACGAACCTGTCGCGCAAGGCTTCTGCATTGGCATTGACGTAGAAGCTAAACTGGGTTAGAATTGCCTGCCACACGTCATCTGGCCGCAGGACCAGCTCGTGGTGCCGGTTGTACGCCTCCATAATGGTGGAAACCAGGCCCCATGGTGCAGGGCATGCCTTCTCCTCGCGTCCGGACTGCTGAATGATGATGGGCTTGTCGGACTCTGGGACCTTCGTCTCAGCCGCCCGACGGCGTGGGTCTGGGATTTGGCCAAAAGCAGACTGAAAGCTCTTGTTCGCAGTGAAGATCGCAGGCACCGGCACCGGTGCCATTGACTTGCTGCATACCTTCTCTGCCTTCGTCTGCTTGCTGCTTGCCGCAAAAGACACTCCGAAAGGCATCGTCGCTCAGCTCGCGAGGCAAACGTGTCAGGGCAAGACGGGCAAGAGCTTGAGTTTCTTTGCTGTTGCAGAAAGGCTTACTGAATTCTGGCAGAGACCCCAGCTCTACTAGACCCCACTCCTTGACCCTTCAACCAACGGTCCTTGGAGCCGAGTAATCGTGAGCTTCCTGCTGCCAGGCTTGCCGGAAGAATCAATTGGTCCTGCCAAGCTGCCAGAAAGCGTTTGAGCTAGATGTCAGTGCGGAACCCAGTGATCTCGGCAGCATTTAGGCATGCCTGCCGAGCTTTCGTACCGGTCGCTAAGTACGAAACCAAGGCATCAAAGCGCCAAGGCAGCAAGTTCTCAAACCCACAAATCCTGGCACCCTCAGTCCGTACTAAGTTCCTACGCTCGCATGGCAACGGGTCCAGCAGATGTTCATCCAGGGCTGCCCCAGTTTTGAGCTGCGCCTTGAGCGGCACCAACCTTCGCAAATGACGGGCTGCGATCTGTTGCTAACCACCTCCGGCATTTTCACAATGTCTGGACACAGCCTCACACTATGGCACTATGGCATCATCCACCAGGGCGTTCGCTACTTTCTAATCTTCCGAAACCTTCTACACTACTGCGGATCTAGGTAGCGTATCACAGCCAGCAGACTTCGTGAAACTCAGAGAGTCAGTCTGGGACACCGGCGCTTTCTCTGCTGCGGCTCCCCACACGTCGTAGAGGGATCCGCGGCCCTGCAAGGTTCGAACATCACACAGCTGCTGCCCGAGCACAGCTCGGCTGTGCTACGTGCTGCAGTTTATCCAAAGCCTTCGGCCCGTCAAGCGGCCCACCGGAAGCATGGAAAACACCTCCTCCAGACATCTCCACCTTAGCGGCTCAATACGCAAGACGCAGCAGGTGTGCGGTCAGTCTGCTCCTGTGGTGTGTCTTGGAAGGGCAGGGTCCGCTCGCAAGAACACAGCGCATTGCACCCGGCTTCACACACTACGCATGGCATGCAGTTCATCAGAGCTCGGCTCACGGCCAGAATGTCACAGGCTGCCTTGAACACCTGGAATGTCACGTCCGCTTGTCCAATGTTTCCTCTCACCGGGAGCCTCAGAACTCTGAGGCCCCCCCCCTCCCGGGACTTTGAGTAAACCCCTAAACCCTAAACCCTCAGGACCTTCTGGCCCTCCGGCATCTGCTCGGCCTCACAGCGCACCTGCACCTGTCCACACCCGACACTGCAGGACAAGAGCATACGAGGTTTAGGGTTTAGGGTTTA